GGATCACAGAGAAAAAACTTTCAGTGTTTGATTACTATTTCTCGGGAATACACACTTACTTTAACATCGCCATGGGTGATGTGTGTGTAAATATAGAACGTAACAGTCACGTTGTTACTGACCACGTGGTGATAGTAATACACAGAGGCTACACGTAGAGCAATACAAGGCGTTCCCGGGTCTACAACACATACCTGCAGCCTAATGAGATGATGACGTGTTTTGAATGACTGTCAGGACATGATAGAGAATGGTCTCGTCATACAAAGGATCTGGGTTCAAATCTTGGGACTGGTCCAAACTGTAAACCCTGCTCGTATAGGGAAGTAAATCTAACCAAAGCAGCTGAAATTAATGTTTTGTGTCAAGGTGGTTACCACGTACTAATTTTCTGGTTTCTTGGAGTTCGTTTGTCAAGGGTTAGTTGTCGTTGATGTCGTAATTGTGTTATGGCGTCTCGCCAACGAACAAATATAAGGTGTAAACCTACAATGCTGACGGGCGAAGAAAGGAAGTAGAAGAAATGAAAACGTTGTTGTAGTGGTAGTAGTGATGGTAGTCGATCTGGTAGTAGTAGCAGCAGTGACATTTGTGGTAGTAACATTGGTACGTAGTAGTAGAAGTTGTAGTAGCAGAAGCAGCGGCGGCAGCAGTAGTACTAGATGCAATAGGGGCATGATAGTAGTACCTGCAGCGGTAGCCGAAGTAGTAGGGGGAGTAGCGTTTGTATGTAGTCGTAGCAGAAACACCAGCAATACCAGTGCGGCAGCAGCAGTAGTACTAGTAGCAGTTGTAGTAGTAGCAGTTGTAGTAGCAGCAGCAGCAGCAGCGGCAGCAGTAGTAGTAGTAATAGTAGTAGTAGCAGTAGTAGTAGCAGTAGCAGTTGTAGTAGCAGTAGTAGTAGTAGCAGCAGCAGTAGTAGTAGCAGCAGTAGTAGCAGCAGTAGTAGTAGTCGTAGTGGGAGTAATATTAAAACAGCAACAGTAGTTGTACTAGTTTGGTAGTAGTTGTAGCAGCTGTAGCCGAAGTAGTAATGGGATGTTGTGATTTTGGTAGCAGTAGCAGTAGCAGCAGCAATCCCTCCTACTAATTAACTTCATCTACCCATAAACTACGAACCCCAACAATAAGAGACAACTACTCCCTCAGTGCGTCCTGATACTGATCCAGAAAAGGTCGCCTGTTGTACATCTGTGTATCTTGCCATGTAACAGCAGGAACAGGCACAGTGTACGGCTTTAGACTTTCTCTAGAGTGTGCTCATATTGCATGGTAACTGGAAACCCAACACTCTGAACGTAAGGCACGCCCAGACAGATAGCTAAGGAAAGTTCATAATAGTAATTTCCAAACATGCACACAGAAGACCAGGTTGATAAACGTCATAAAGATACGTGAAGTTTCCTAAAGATGTTTATAATGTTGAGTCTTTTGCCTCACTGCAATGCAACCCTACGTGTATCAATGTCATATGCTTCAGATGGGTTTGTCTTGCTTGCCTACTATAAACCAGGAAACTATTCTCTGGTAAATCTGTGTCGCCGAGGACGGGTAAACATTGAGACCGGAATGTTCTGTTGCGATAACATGCCTAGGCTCCCCGACTTGGAGATACTGAATCAGGCTCGCGCGTCTGGAGAATATGGTCGTACACACAGAAGAGTGACATTTCTCTTGAAACCGGATACGGCCATGTTGAACGTGATGGTGCTAGGCTCAAATAAGAGACGCCATGTCGTTTGTTTTAATTTACTAGATACTCCAATATCGGGAGGTTAAGAGTTGTTACGCTACATTTATAAGATTGTTCTTATTAAAAACATTACAAAATACGTCTCGTTAAATGGTTAATAACTAAGACACGTAAGACAAAGGGAGATAACTGCTGTGGTTATCCTCACTGTCGCGCAACATACGTAACAGCTGGCTTAGCGCACGTGCCGAGTGCTGACCCCTGACGGCAGATTCCAACGATAGGGACAGATGAGCAGAAATATGAGATTTCAAAAAATACGATAAAACTTCCGTCTTGTTGAGGGCGTACTCGGTTCCGAGAGACGAGTGTTTTTGTTTACGCAACGTAAACGTGTTAGCCTCAAAGACCCGCCCATTGAAATGTTTTCAGTCAAGCCGTGTGTGGATGTCATTTTTAGAACAGTAGTATTTTCATATGATCTTTATTTGCTTTCATTTATTATTGCAATATTTGTTCCACAAATGCCAAATGGTCACGTGGTAGCAGGATGTAGGTCAATTTGACGTCCCTATGATCATTAGAAAAGAAATATTTTCTTCCGTTTGTATTGAATTTTTTTTTTACATAACTAGCATGAGTCTTGCAAACACAATGTTAGTTTTGATACCAAAACGAAAGTAATTCTTGAATGCCAAAACTTACATTTGAATGCACATTAGACAAAACTGCAAGGGAAAAAGAAGTAAAACTTGGATTTCACTGAAAACTTTCCAACATAATAAGGCTGAAAATAGTCTCCAAAACAGTGACTTAATGACCCAAACACAAACAATTAATGTATAATACTTGTATCAAATCGCCTATGAATGACCATTTCTTATTTGTTTTTTTAATCAGCATTATACATTGTTTCTTAAGTTTTGACCGATGGCTTAAAATACAGTACAGACTGACATCCCCAGTTTGGACCACCAAACGACATTGATCCAAGTAGTCCCTAGCGATGGGAATACATCTGCTTCAGCATCTCTATCTGACCAATGGTTATGACATGGGACTCGGCAAGTGTCCATCAAAACACACTGAACACGTTCAGTTGTAATGTTAAAAGCTTACTGTAACTGTAACGGTGAAGGAGAGTAATGATCGACTTCGGGCTGAGATCGCATCAAAGACGTGGGCCCAGTTTAGCTACTTTAACTATCGGACTAAACCAGTACGTCATTTTGCACTTTAGTGTCCAAGCTATTGAAGCCAATACGTGTTAAATGTTATCCAAGGCCGTTCTACATCCCCCTATTATCAAAACCGGTTATCTCGATTCGTTCTTGCCGTGTTCACTTCTATTCGTTATAAGTGAGTGCGTAAGTGAGTGAGTTTAGTTTTACGCCGCACTCAGCAATATTCCAGCTATATGGCGGCGGTCAGTAAATAATCGAATCTGGACCAGACAATCCAGTCATCAACAGCATGAGCATCGATCTGCGCAATTGGGAACCGATGACATGTGTCAACCAAGTCAGCGAGCCTGACCACCCGATCCCGTTAGTAGCCTCTTACGACAAGCATAGTCGCCTTTTGTGGCAAGCATGGGTTGCTGAAGACCTATTCTACCCCGGATCTTCACGGGTCTATTCGTTATAAAGGTGGTGGAATAATTATATGTATAACATTCGAGTTACTGCTTAAGTTATATTCTTTTACGGAACTCTTCCAAATACACGTAGGATTGAACTAAGTTCAAAGGATATAATGTTACCTGTACGTAAACACATTACCTCGTCAGGTTATTCTACTTTGATCGTTATATCAGTGTTTTGTGTGTGTTGCTCTTTTTCAACTGTTTCAGCCAGGTGTTCAGGTATTGTGGGGAAACAGGAAATTGCATTTTCATCTGCAACACGTAACTTGATACATGCATTATTTCAAGCACTGGTATCTTTTTGTACACCATACGTGTATTTACCGTTGTCTGTCTCATCTTCGGTGAGACAACTAAATGTTGAGTTGTCGTGAAGATAATATCTTTCTTGCCTGTCGGTGTTGTTATTTGTCGTGAGGATAGTAACATGTTCGCTAACAAACGTAGGAAGTTGTAATGAGTATAGCACATGTATGTTGAAAGATTACTCTAAATTATTAACAGATTGTAAGAGAAGGTGAAGGAGTAAGAAATTCAGAAACGAACAGGAAACGAACGATTCCAGATGTTAAAAAGGATTTTTTGTGGACGGTTGCGTATTTTTATCGTGAGACGAGTCCCATGATTCGTTATTTATCGAGACCTTTGACATATTCCGGAGCATCTTCAGAGCACATCTCAAACGTAATACCACATAGGGACAGAGCATAGGTGAAAAATTACTAACATGTATATAAAAATAAAACATCGAGAGGAAATGCAATAACATAGATCGATCACTGTACGCGCATGTAACAAAATACATGTTTTAACATGAACATATACTCATGCCAATAATGGTTGTCACCCCCTTCAATTTTTTCAATTGGAGAGGGGGGTGGGAGGGGGGTGACAACCATTATTGGCATGAGTATATTTTCTTTATGTAAGCATTCGCATCAATTTTTTCAATACAGAATCGCATGGACGGAGACGCTGCTATGATAAGTCTATGGTTCTACATGTCAAGAAAACCAATTTATGACATGGAAGATATATTAATAATTTTTTTGTATATTTTCTCAGTGTATTGTGCGCATGGGCAGATGTGCTATTCATGTAGTACGGGAATAGACAACGTAATGAATCCCAGCATTTTACTCAGTGCTTGAGCATGCACCTGAAAGGATGCTAACATCGCAGGAAATGCATAAAATGACATATGCTCGGATGTGGAAATGCATTACCCTAAATGACATGTCGTCAATGTAACGATATCTAATATTTAAATAAATGAAACTAAACAATCAAAATATATATAAAGATACTCGCGTTAAATAAAATGAACGAAAGCGTACAGAAAAAAGGAATTAAACAATATCAGACAACGTTAAATAATTCTTGTATTTTCTTTCATTACTGTCAAAACGCTTCGAGCGATAAGGCGTGTGCCCGTGTATTAAACCGCAATGCGGGGCTCCACATCCAAGCATGCATTCACGTTCCCACATGACAAGCAATATATACCATTTCTCCCGTGCAGTAGGAGGCAACGCTCTTTGTCTACTGAACATGATCAAATACCGCTTCCTTCACCATTTCCTATAAATCTTAGAAGCAGAATAATTTAACAAGTTTGACAAAAGTAATAATACGTAAGAAAAACTACGGAAATCAACTTACGACATGTTTTAGCCTTCCCTTGTCGGTTTCACGGTCTTTCAAGCAATAAGCCAGTCTGAGGCAGGCGTTCAATGCAAGCTTCATGGTTATTTTTAGCACTGAAGGGGATTCCCCTCTTTTCAGGCGCAGCATGACCACATGTCCTTACTGGTATATTGACAACTCATTTGCAGGTGACACCTGTCAATCAAGGACGACAGCCAATACAAAAAACCTGGGTATGTTTTCTGAACTTGAAACTGATAACAACTTGAAACTGATAACATTCACCGAAAACTATGTTCACTTGTTTTGAGGACGGCACTTTAAAACTGGTTGTATGGAGTGGAATTATATTACGAGACACTTCCTAAAATTGTGAACGGGAAGTTACTTCGTAAATTAAATTTGTAATGTTACGGAGTTTAACCATTGCTTCTAACACAGACAAGTGATGAGATTATTGTTATTAAATACACAGAAATATAGAACTGTGTATTTTTCTCAGTCGGGGCGGTGGGGTAGCCTAATGGTTGAAGAGTCCGCTCGTCACGCTGAAGACCCGGGTTTGGTTCCCCACATGGGTACAATGAGTGAAGCCCATTTCTGGTGTCCCCCGCCATGATATTACGGGATTATTGCTACAAGCGGCGTAAAACCAAACTCACTCACTCACTTTCTCAGTCAGCAAGTACACAAGTTTTTCCTAAAGGCGGTCAAAACAAAGGTTTGAATTTTGCAGTAAATACCCCAATCCTACAATCAACTGCTGTCCCCTTATCAGGTATACGACATAACTGAAATTCCGTACTACACTTCTTTGTGGATGTAGTTTTATATTACACAGCCTCATGCTTGAGTCGCTATTCACATGTTTGTACGTAACCTTTTTACGTGAGTTTGTACAAACTGTACATTATATTTCGTTTAGTTTCTTTGGGAATACAACGGAGACGATCATGCTCTACACATGCTGTTCATGTTGTTACTTGTCCCAAAGCAGAAACGTGTTTTACATCGAGCTACTAGTACTTGTGGCAATCATAATCTCCTTTATATACTCATATTCAAAGATCATTCAGATAATGTTATTGTCCCTCCATGTCCTTGGACTAACTATCTTGCTTAAGAGCTGCTAAGTAAACAACTTGCTAAAAAACCGTTTGTATCCTGAAAGACCTTGTACACTGCCAATAGTTGTTGAACAATATTCAACTTTCCACCTTTTCATTGTGCATGTTTAATTGTCCATGTTCAGTTTAGGAATGAATGAAATGTATAAGAAATATTGCGCAATGTAAATTGAAAAAGTGTAGTAGGGTACTGCTAAATAACTCTTAGCAATGAAATAGTTTGTGTGTTGATATATAATTAATATAATATTTTCCTGTTTGTATGTGTATATCAGCAGAATTTAAGAATACTGGCTTTTATATATCATTTATATATCCATACCCGTGTTGATATCATACTTCAAGCTAATATTTATAAGTTGACCCGACTAATGCAAATACCTCTCCAAATGTCAATCGACGATGGGGTAGCCTAGTGGTTAAAGCGTAGGCTCTTCACACCAAAGACCAGGGTTCGATTCTCCACATGGGTACAATGTGTGAAGCCCATTTGTAGTGTCCCCCGCTGTGATATTGCTGGAATATTGCTATAAGCGGCGTAGAACCTCACGCACTCACTCAAAGCATATATTCCTACTTGTGTTCATGCATACAATCCTGTATTTACTGATACCTGTAATCCTTCACTGCTAATACACATGACCCGGTTTAAGAAGACAGCACTGCACATGTTTGGTACATGAGTTATATAACCCAGCAAGGTCTCATGCATACACCTCAGCACGTGTTAACATCACTAGCTGAATAACCTTAGAAGTGTTAATACTTATAACTCCGCACGTGTTAATACACAAAACTCCCCACGTGTTAATACAACTATAGATATGTACGTGCTAATATATACAACTCTATCGCCGTGATACACGTGCTGATATATACAACTCTACCGCCGTGATACACTTGCTGATATATACAACTCTACCGCCGTGATACACTTGCTGATATATACAACTCTACTGCCGTGATACACTTGCTGATATATACAACTCTACCGCCGTGATACACTTGCTGATATATACAACTCTACCGCCGTGATACACTTGCTAATATATACAACTCTATCGCCTTGATACACGTGCTGATATATACAACTCTACCGCCGTGATACACTTGCTGATATATACAACTCTACCGCCGTGATACACTTGCTGATATATACAACTCTACCGCCGTGATACACGTGCTGATATATACAACTCTACTATCGTGATACACGTGCTGATATATACAACTCTACCTCCGTGATACACTTGCTGATATATACAACTCTACCGCCGTGATACACTTGCTGATATATACAACTCTACTGTCGTGATACACGTGCAGTTGTCTATAACCCAGTACGTTGTTGTTCATATAAACCTACACGTAATACTGCATATAACGCTGCACTTGCTAATGCTTATCACTACATATTTGCTAATGCATATTACGAGATACGTGCCAATGCATATAGCCCTACACGTGCAAATGAACATTACTCTGCACGTACTAATGCACACAACTAGACATGTGCTAATGCATATTACGATATACGTGTCAATGCATATAGCCCTACACGTGCAAATGAACATTACTCTGCACGTACTAATGCACATAACTAGACATGTGCTAATGCATATTACGAGATACGTGCAAATGCATATAAATCTGCACGTACTAATATATATAGCGAACTCCCCACGTACTAATACATATAACCCTCAATGTGTTAGTACGTATACCCCTGCACGTGTTGACACAAACAACGCTGAGCTTCCTAATGCTTGGAAGTCTGCACATGCTAAAATACAACCCTGCACTCGTTTTATAGCCATGCCCCCTTAGATGTTATGTAAAACAGTCCTTTACCTGTTCGTTTGAATAACCCTGCATCTGCGAATGCATAGTTTATACACAGTGTTATGGTAGTGCAATTGACATGAACGTGTAAGTTCATTATAACCTTGCATGCACACAACCTACACCCATGCACGTGCCAATACATAGAGCGATATAATGCATATAAACATGCATGTATTAACATCCCCTCCCACGTGAGGTGGGTATCTACGGCTGCCATCTTTATTTGTATAGGAGTTCTTGTTTTGATTGTTGTTGAACGCTAACTATGTTAAATCAGAAACAAAATGCAGACAATTTTCCTGCCCGGTATATGATTTGATTACTCACAGGTGTTGTATCATGAACTCCATGCTCCTAACGTACCGCTGACTATTTCAAAACGTTTTCCTTCAACTGGCTTCATTCTTCTAAACTTTAACAGTGTTGCCGAAATTCACGATGTCAAGAGTGATGCTATTGTGTGGCGATTACCATACCAACACGATAGCTATCGATCCCTTATATGATGATAACTTGGAGTATAACGGCACACACACACGCACGCACGTGCACACACACTCGCGCGCGCACACATACACACACACACGCACGCACCCTCACACACATACACATACTCTCTCTCTCACACACATACATACACACAAACGCACATACAAGTAAATATTAGCTTACCTCGTTCAAATTTATAACTTAACGCAAATCACATGAAATGGAAAAAAATGAACAACGCATGAATATACCAACACTTTATGTTGTGTGGTAACGATTTCAAGAAAGTCCGAATGAAATATGCTCATAAGTAGAAATATTCATTAAAAATGTTGCACGTATGTTACTCACAAAAGGGTTAAGAACACCCTATTTTTTCAAATGACCATCGTTACTCTTTCTTTGTCTTGACATATCAACTCCACTCACATATCAAAACACCGGGTGTTCTTTAACTTCGAATTCGTTGGATAGTAAAACTGAAATACACATATTTTAAAATGGGATTCAAATCGCTCCTTGTGACAGAAGTTTGTTTATGACCGTTGTCATGGTTCCCTACATATTTATGTCAAGTATTCGACAAGCCAGTTCAAGTTCCTGTTGGATTAGTATAACTGTGGATACAGAATGGGTTGAACCGTTGAAATTTATTTAACTTCTTGAACCCAATACTTCATGATCTGTACCGTCTTTGTATATATCCGCCAGAACGAACGGTTCTACTGTGTCGAGTATACCGTAAACACTCCATTCTGTGTTATCATGAGGTTTATAGCAGAGCAAGATTCAACATACCCACTGAGTAACCGTGTGTTAAAAAAAGTAAAATATATTCATCGATTTTTTGTATGTGCATCAACCAGTTGAGCAGTTGAATACACACACGATCACAATTGATATTTATAGAACCGATCAGTGTCTGGGTGAACGTCATATCATAATAACGCTGATTGTTCAATACAGGCCGTTTCCCTGAAAAGTCAATGCACATAAAATTACGTCTTTGTAGCGGTGAATAGTTCTCCTCAGAAAATCCCCGAATATATTTTAATAACAACGGAGAGTTTGCGAATTGTCGGTGAATGTGAATGGGAAACGAGTTAGAAACATGTTGCGAAGACTATCAAGGTTTGCAGCAAGCTATATCATGTTAATGTGTCACAGAAATAGGACATTATATGTGTTTGGTCGTAATATAAAGGGGCACTTGACGTGTTTTCTGCTGCACGTGGATGTGACGACCCTTATACATGTTGGTTTCTATGGCAGTTTCGGGTAAAACGAGTGTGAATAGTTTCTCTTCAAGGCAACCGTTTTCATTTTTCTAAGGTCTGTTTAAGTTAGCAATTCCTGTTGTGGGCGTTTTCTATGGATTATGAGTTTTTGTGTATCTGGGTATTGATTGATGGGGTAAAGTGGCTGGGCTATGTTGTTGGTTTGTCGGGGAGGGACATCAGGCTGTGCATACAGTTTAGTGTGAGCGCTCTTGTATATCGGTTTGAGATTTATTTTCGCCGCTTTTTGAAACATCAAGAATTATCACTGGGTACACTAGAAATGGGCCAAACAGATATACCTGTTCAGGGAATTAAACCAGGGCCTTTGGTGTGAGGGGTGAACGCTTCAACCAC